TCCAGCCCCTTCCCAGCTCCTGAGGAATCCAAAAGTGACCCCAGGATTGGAGGTGCCTCAGCAGTGCCAGCACAGGGGGATGGTCACTGCCCTGGTCCTGCTGCCACACCATGGCTGGTACAAGCCAGGATTATCCTTGGCCTTCCTGGATTTCCTCACAGCATTCCATATTTAGTGGCACAGGGCAAAATTAAGCAGCACAGCCAGTATGTAACCGGCAAAAATCCACACAGGGACAGATGTCCAGCTGACAGACCTAACCACCTCACCCTGCTTATTTACACCCACTCAATTTCTGGGTGAAATTCTAGTCCTTGAGGCTGGCAGACCCTTCTCCTCCCTCCTCACACCCCCTGCTCACACACAGGAGGCGTTTCAGGCCGTGTGACACTGCAGAGGGCTCTACGTACGGATTTTGTAGTTCTCGTTAATGCGCCGGATCTCATCGTTCGTGCGAGAAGCCAGGATTTCAATCAGGCAGCCTTCATCTGTCCCTGCTCCCTGGGGAATGGCAAAGACAGGATCCAAGGTCATGACAACTGTTTGGATGGGCAACTAGGACTTTCTGTTTATTATATTTAAGTTAATAATAAGAAACGAATAATAAATGTATGATTATGCCATGTCATACAGAACTGACCATAACTTAAGCAAACACAAAAGAAGATTTCCAAACCTTTAGAGCCCTCCTCAGCTCGTGCACATCGTACATGGCGGTTGGAGTCATCAAACCAACAATCACCTTTTCAAAATTCCCACTCAGCTCAGACTTCAAGTCGTCAATCAAATCCTGGAAGACAGAGAGAGAGGCAAGGAGGTGAGAGAAGATGCAGTTCTGAGAACAGGAAGAACTTGTTCACAGTTTTCTTCATGCTCCAGCCCTCCTTGGATAAAGAGTTACTGGGAAGTGAACAAGACCAAAATGAACTTGGCCAAGGAAAACTAATCACACTGCCATGGAGACAGGGATGTTGCTCACATTTCACCCCAAATACAACCCCAAAAATATCTGCAACTCCCAATTAAAGCCACAGCCACTGATCTCTGAAGAACACCTACCCTGCCAATGGTGCTTTTATAGGTGATCAGAACGTGCTGGCGTTGGGAAGCGTTCAGCTTGGTCAAGGTCTCAATGATGGCATCTTCATCTGTGCCTGGAAGCAACCAATGGAAACCAGTCAAGCTGCTTGTTCAGGAACCAGGCACGTGCTCTGGTCGTGCCCAGGTTGTGCCATTAACCACCCAACCCTCACCCAAGCTGGCTCTCAGCTGTGCAGCAGTGCCTCAGCCCAGCCACAGCATGGCAGTACCACCCCACAGGGCAGAGGAAACAAGGGCCTGACTATGGCCAAGACTTGGATTTCCAGCGGGGTTCAAGTCGCTCAGTTCCTTCCAGTGCCCTCCCAGGGCAGGGGGGTGATGCCAAGGGCTGGATTTCCCCTCCAACAAACACCATGAAAACATTCCCAATCCTCAGGGGGATGAAGGAGGGTTTAACAGTGGAGGGAAACCAACTTACCAAGCCCCTTCATGGCCTTCCTTAGTGCCTGTGCCTCTTGCTCAGCACTGAAGCTCGAGACTCCCTTGATTGTTGCCTAAACCCATAGGAGTTAAGAAAGGCAGACACAGTCAAACATACACAGAGTTGAATTAAAAACAAAGAGTATGCAAAAGATGCAAACACAGTGACAGTGTAAAGTCCACCCAGCAAACAGGAGTGATTTTACACCAGGGTTCCATCCTAAACAGAAGTGGTTTGTTCAGTAGGGACGTCCCAGCCACTTAAGAAATAAGCCACAGGGACACAGAAAGGAGGAAATATCCTAATGTGGATGCCCATGGAGCAACCTGCTCTGGTGGAAGGTGTCCCTGTCCATGGCAGCAGGGTGAACTGGGTTCAACCTGGAGAGAATAAACCCAGGAAGTTCCTCTAGAGAAATTCATGCTCTTTGAACCAACTGATATCCGACTGGTTTACCATTAACTCCCCAAAAGGAAAATCCCATATTTGTGGGTCATTCTTTAGTATGAGGAAGCAGAGAGAGGTGATAAATCCCCCTCAGTGAAGGGACAGACAGTGACAGTGCTCTTCCTGCTGGGTCCTTATCTGAGCTACACTCCCCAGGTTTATCTGGGCTGGCACAGGGTGGCACAGCAAACACTCACCATGGCGCTCGGATTTGGTCAGTCTGGCACTGTCCTTGTCCCCAGGCACTCAGCTGCAATGAAAAACACGGGGGGTGTTAGTTTCCTAGCAAATAATTAATAGAACACACCTACCCTTGCAGGTTAATGGGGCTGGGGAAGTAACCCTCTAATTCTTTGAGGACTAAAAGCATCACTGGGGTGAACAGCAGCTTCCTTTCCAGCCCTGCTCTGCACCGAGCTGATCATGACAGCAGAGGGCCAGGGCCAGGCTGGGAGGGCAGACAGGTGATTAGCACTGCTAATTTAATGGGATTCCTCACCATTGCCACATTTGTGACAGCCTGCCCGAGGCTGCAAGGAGAAGCAGACAGGGTCACCCTGGGAGCAAAGAGAATAGACTGGATTCCTGTGTCCTTCAAAACACTCGGGTGTCACCTTGGCAGGTGAGATCCTGAGGGTGAAGAAGGGTGAGGGTGCCCACGCAGCCCTAAGAGCCTTCAGGGATCCTGCCTGAGAGGCAGAGACAACTTTGTAGGGTAGGTGAGCACACAAATTATAACCTCACTCGAGCACTGGGGCAGGAAAATTATTCCCCCTCTTAATATTTTAATGAAATATTTTGTATTCAACATCTCAGTTTGGTGCAGTGTGTTCTTCCCTGTGGGGCTGCAGTTTTGGCTGGCAAAGCCCTCAAAAACACCAAAGATTAACTGCTGCCTGGCCACAGTTCTTATTTCTGCTCGTAGCTTTGCTTTCATGCATACAGCCTATACACCAACACACCCAAATTATTTTCCCATATCCCTGATCATCTGACAGGATGTCCAATCCTAGGACAAGGTTCACTTCCCTGTAACTTGAGTTATCACAGGAGAGCAGTCAGAGAGGCAGGCAAAACACACACAGAGGAGTGGAATTAAATACAGAATAAAAGATGCAACCACAGGGACAGCAAGTGAAGGCCACGCACCAACCCTGGTGGGTTTAGTCCAGGAGGGAGTGAGCTCTCACACCAGGGCCCTGAGGCAGAAGCAGAGGGGCCAGCAGTGCATGACATCTCTCCTCGTGGTGCTCAGTAGCTGCTCCCCATGAGACAGTTGTGCAAGAGCAGGAGAGTGTTTGCTCATGCTCCACATGACTCCTACAGACCTGGAATGCACCAGCACTGCTGTTCAGGCCACTTAACTCACAGTGTGACACCAGCCATGGATGTTACTCAGGGGCACTCCCCAGTGTTCCCCAGGTCATCTCTACGTCACTGCACCCTGTGCAATCAGGCAACATATGGAAATTATTAATGCTGAGCTTGCTTGCTTTCATCTGATCATAAATTTCAGTGGTTCAGATCATGACCTAGGCCTCAGAAAAGTCATGTTTGCTCTCCTCTAATCTTTTACAGAAGGAAAAAGCCAATTTTATTTGCTTTTGTCAGACACTAAATAGAAGGCTTCAGATTTCACTGATGTTTTTATGATGCAGTTTTACCATCCAGATGGTTTGCACACAGCAGCAGGAATATCAGACAGGCTGGTTCAGCAAGTCAATTAAAGGGCAAAAGAAAGGTCAGTAAGAAGGGAAAGGGGGAAGGAGGCAGAGAAATTCTGAGTGCAAGTGAGCTGGCAGGAAGGAACCAGACCATGAGGAGAGGCTGCTGGACTGGAATGGGGGCAAATGCTCTCACAACACCCATTTACAGCAGGAATGTCACACTGAATATTGACTGCAAGATTCTGATTTCTTCATCCAGTGAACATCACTGAGAGTCTAAAGAGCAGAGCACTGCAAAAGGCAGCACTGCAAACCCCACTGCTCAAGCTGCAGCTGCTGGTTTGTTCCTGGAGTATTTGCACGTATTTCTGAATGAGCCACTGAAGTTACAGGTGGGGGAGCTCAGCAATCCAGCAACGGCCCCTGGCCCTGTGACCCTTTCAGAGCCAAAGGTGTCTGCACAGACTGCTCAGGCCGGGGCTTTAGATGAATAAAACCCTCCTAAGCCGCCCCTTGGTTAGCAGAGAGAGAAAGGAATGGCTCAGCAGATTTGCCAGTGCTCAGCAGCTTAACACAATTCCTGGCCTGCAGCTCCATCAGGGAAAACCAGCTTCAGGATAGGAGCAACACTTCATCCCATGGTTTGAAGGATTAAACTGTGCATGCAAAGGGTCAGCCAGCCAGCCCTACGGTGCCCTTATGTTATTTGCCTCACCCCAGAATAAAGGCCTGATACAGCAAACCTGTGCCCAGAGACAGTGCAAGCATCCCTCCCATTACTCGATCTTTTCCCAGGGAGATCTTTTCCTGGCAGGCAGTTATAAGTCCATATCAACATCCTCTAAAAGCTGAATCCAGAACAAACTTGATTTATCAGAAAATTGCCGAGTCTGTCCCGTGTTCTGCAAAATCAAGCCTAGGCTTGCTCTGAATCAGATTCTCCTGACTGTGCTCAGAGCACACCCAGGTACCAGCAAGCAGAGCTCCCGACAGCTCCACACGATATAAACACCGGTTTTTTCCCCCAGTTTGAGCTCGCAGCGTGTTGCCAGTCCCACACCTCGGCTCTGCAGTGAAACCCGCTGTTTGTGACCCGTTCCCGTGCGAGGCAAACGCTGGACTCGTCTGACGAGTTCTCCCGTTCTGGGCACGTTCACCCGACCGCAACCCACACCCTGCTCCGGCTCGGCTTTTCCACTGCTCCGTCACCGCCGCCGTTCCCGGAGAGCGGGATGTGCTCCAGGAGCGTCCCGGCTCTGATCCCGGCCCAACCTGCAGCTCAGGAAAGCATCTCCCTTCTGCCCCGAGCCAGCTGAAATATCCATCCCCGCGCCTCCCACACGCTGACCTTTAGCAGGCCGCTGCCCGCAAAAGGAATAAAAATACAATTTTTACAGCCTCGCGCTCCTCCTTTAGCCTGTCGCCCACCCCTGCCGAGCATCCCGCGGGGAGGACGTGGCAGCCTGGGCATGGCAGGAATAGGAACCAAACCCCGAGCTGCCTGTGTCCGGGAAGGGCCAGCCACCTTCCCCGGCCCCCCAGCCCCCCTGCCCGCCCGTCCCCAGCCCCTGGCACGGCTGTCACTGCCCAGCCCTGGTGTCACTGCCCAGCCCCGGTGTCACTGCCCAGCCCGGTGTCACTGCCCAGCCCTGGTGTCACTGCCCAGCCCCGGTGTCACTGCCCAGCCTGGCGAGCGGGGACAGCGCTTGGCACCGTCCCAGGAACCTCCGGCCCCGTGACAGAGGGGGGAACCCTCTTGGCACTCACCTGCTGTCCCGGCAGGAGCTGGCAGGATGGGGAGAGTTCTTGCTGCCTGCCCCCGGTGGCAAAGTCCCCGCCCTGGCGCGGGGTGGGACCCGCACGGCAGTGACGGGAGGGCGATCCAGCCCTCCCTGCCCTTCCCTAAACAAACAGGAGGTTGTAAAGCGGAGCAGGGAGAGGTTCCCCAGGGAGCCTCACTCCATTTAGGAACTGCACTTTGGGGGTTACTCGGGGGACTGACAGGCTGGAATGGCTTCCAGGCTCCCCGGCATTCCCTGTAAAAATCCCTGGGAACAGAGCGGGGCTGTGGCCGCAGCCTCTGATCCCTCATTCTGCGCTGTCTGGAGCAGGGCACACCCGAGGGGGGAGCGAGGGGGACGACGGTGTGGAGCACACAGGCAGAGCAGCCTCGAGCAAGAAGTCCCGTTCCTCCCCCCGTGTTGTTTGTGGGGTGTTTCTTACCCGTGTCGTGTCTCCTTTGCTCCCACTGCACCTCTCCGGGTCTTCAGCATCATTCCCCCTTGTCTAAGAACTCTGTCACAAACGGCCACGATTTCTGTAACGATTATTATCTGCATAAAGATTATTCGTTTTGCCCTGATGAATGGCACCGCCCTAAAGGCAAAACCCTTCAGGCAAAGGGACTTCATTCTCACCCCGATGTGACCCTGCCACATGCTCATGGGGCTGACAGAGGGAAATCAGCCTTGAATAATACATGGCTTGTCTTCAAGTGTTTATCCTCAGGGATTTTGGTCTCCTCTGATGCCAAAAGTACCATTATTAAAATGGGTAGATCAGCCCTCTCAGGTTCTTCTTTCGAGCTGAGAGGACAGCTCTATCTCAGCCCTGTGCCTCTTTGCTCATGCTCTTTTGCTGGAAGGGACCTAAATTTAGCAGCTGGGATGCAGCTGTGTGGTTTATTTATTACAGCTCAGCCTCCCAAAACTGCCCCATGGAGCCCAGCACCTACTGCTGATCCGGGGGGACATGGACCAGGGAACAGGCAGAGCAGGTTCAAGCCTCCAGCCCTCTCTTTTTCCACTGCAGAGCCTCTTCCCTTGCAAGCTCTGGCCCTTTCCCCTGACCAGGATTCAGGGGGATGGTACACGTCGCCAACTGTCGCTAAGGAGAAACTTCTCTTTCCTACGTCTACAAAAGTTTCCATTCTCATCCCTTCCTCTCACGTCAGCATTCC